CAAGCCCCCCTCTCCCCCCGAAAGCCAAAAATTGGGGAAAAGAGGGAAGGAAAGGGGAGACAGAAGATGAGAAAGTGCGAGAAAAGATGAAGTTTGAGACCGTCGAAGATATTTATTTGTTTTAATGTAGAGTCTCAAGTGAAAACACTATGTTCGTTCCTAAAATTTTCGTCACAAAAGCCTCAACATGCGTCCAAATAGAGTTAAAATTTCTGAAATTTTCCAACTTTGTTGAATGTAACAATTCGAAGGTATTTTGGTGGAAAAAAAGCGAAAATTTTATGCAGAAACTGATTTAAAATGTGTGTCACAGAAGCCTCAAAATGCGTCCAAATAGAGTTAAAATTTCTAACATTTTCTAGATTTGTCGAATGCATATAATTCGAAAGGACTTTATGCTGAAAGTAAAAAAAAAGGCGTAATTTTTATGCAGAAACTGATGGAAAATCTGCGTCACGGAAGCCTCGAAATGCGTCCAAATAGAGTTAAAATTTCCAAAATTTTCTAGATTTGTCGAATGCATATAATTCGAAAGTATTTTATGCTGGAAGTAAAAACAAAAGGCGTAATTTTATGCTGAAAGTGATGGAAAATCTGCGTCACAGAAGCCTCAAAATGCGTCCAAACAGAGTTAAAATTTCAAAAATTTTCAGGATATTTTTGAATGCATATTTTGTATTTTTTGCTGAAAGTTCAAAAAGGAAATGTAACTTCTCTGCAGACATTGATGGAAAATCTGCGTCACGGAAGCCTCAAATGCGTCTAATAAGATTACAAATTTCTAAAATTTTCCGGGGGAGGATCTCCGGACCCCCCCTTCGTCCTGGGGGGTATTCCATACCCCATAGACTTCCCGCTAGTAGAAGGGCCCCACAAGCCCCCCCCNCCCCCCCCCAAAACAAAATCCTGGATACGTGCCTGGGGCATCTTGTGCGACCGGTTGCGTCTAATGAAAAAAGAGATCGCAGGAGCTAGCCACTCCTCTTCACTCCTCTTCGATCGGGTAACCTTCAATCTTCAATGTAAAAGTTTCAAGTACACTCACTGAGATATCTTGCGCTTAGCTGAGAACTATGTCTGCATGCTAAGGTAGAGGTTATTTTTTTTGTAACTCTGCCTTTTTTCCCTGGACAAGACGCTCATTTAAAAAAATATATATGCATTTCTCAGTTTTTTTTTCTAAGAATAGTTCTTAATAGTCTGCAGAACGAAGACTGCAGGTTGGATTATTTTTTAAAAGAATCTGTTCAGTGCTCTTTTCCTTAGAATAGCAGCAATACCATGATGGGATTTATTTTTCAAATCCAATACTACTATGAGTAAATGAAACAAATTGAAAAATCATTTGCTTTCATCAATGCATGTATCGTTTAAGAAGGCGTTTATATTTCGCCAATTTTTTTTTCCAACACATTTTAAGTTTTTTTGTGATTTCATTCGTGTTATGATACTATCCTGGCCTGGTTCTTACAAAAAAAAAGAAGCTAAACTAGATCAAAAATTGATGAAGATAGAAGAGTTTTTACAAAAACCGAAAAATGCGCGCTTGCTGTCTCTTTTAGGGCAAATTATTTGAGTTTTTTCCACGGAAAAAGGCCTGGAAAAATTTTCATTTTGGCCTGGAAAACCTGGAAAAGTCAGGGATTTCTTTTTCCAAAATTGGCTGGGAACCCTGTCAACATGCAAAGTCGGAACAGCAATACTAGTAATTAAAAATTAAGACAAATTATTAAAAATACTGCTAGTCCAGTTGTTGTCTTCTCCTCAGAGGCTCCACGCGTTTTTGCTTTGACAATAAAGTGGTACCATCAGATCGGAACAGTAAATCAATGAAGCTTGGAAAAATAGGAAAAATTAAATAACTGAAGAAAATAAAAAAAAATCGCCGTCATGCCGCAGAAAAGGAACAACTTCTACAATTTTATCAGCTATAGGTAAATGTTTTGACTCCTGCTAAATCAAAAGCAGATCCCAGTAGGTACCCATCATATAAATGGTATGCCCAATGCTAAATGATTTATCAAACATTTCTCAAGTTCCCATGACGAGTATTGCTATCTCACTGCGATTGCAGACACCAGCTTGTTATTTTTTGCATGGGGACGTCGAGGTTTTGTTGATTTCTTCGGATTTCGAATCCTGTAACTTCTCTTCTATCCGGCCGATTTTTATGAATGAGGCCTCTTTTTATTCGTGTTTTAACAAAGAGTAAGGAAAAAATTGGTAAATACACGCGAAACAATTTTTTTTTGAAAATTGGATGAATCCTAGCGTGACGGTGAAATGGTTAATCAGCGGTAAGTAATAAGGTGAGGCCGCCGGGACCCGGGCACCCGGGCTATTGTTCTCTCGAGAGACGTCGACGCAGTGGTCTGTCGCGTGGGGAAGAGAGGGGTAAGTGGATTCCTGTATGAGCCACGTTTAGCAAATGGTGTATTGAGTCTCGAGGCTCATCAATGATTGCACTTACGGCTGCCCTGGCTATCAGAGCAGTGGTACCAAATTTTAAAAAGCATAACAGGGGTGTAGAGATCTGTCAAAGCAACGTTTTAAACAAAACAGAGGAGTGAAATTCTCATTCAAAGAGAGCTAAACTGTTCAGCCATCCTCGAATCAGTTCGTTTGCTTCTACTTATATATGCATATTTTAAATTAGCGCGGAGCACTCTAAGGTTTTTTTTTTTTTTTTTTTTTAAAAAAAACAAGTAACGTAGACTCGTGGTATTAATTGCGCATCAACTAGAAAGCCCCAGAATGACAAACAAATTAAATCATAATTATTGACGGATTAGTAAACCTTTTTACACGCTTTGGAAAACCTCAGAAGTTCGCGGCAGTCACTTTCCGGTAAGGAACTAAGAGACTCGGTCATTGTATCGAGTAGGGGGTCGAAACGATCGCAAAGGCGGTATACTACGTATACGCGCCAAAAGTGTCGACATGAGCCAGCAGAGGCTGATTTCCTAAATAAACAAGCATTCCCAGCCTGCTTCCGATCCCTACTTGCTTCTATTAAAAATGTTACAACCTAACTTATCTTTCTCTTTTCAGGGTTCCATTTTCAGTCTATGCATTACTTGCCTTTCTCACCTTGGGCACTATGGGATTCTCCAACTCATCCCTTGGATACCTCAATTACCCAACTCAAGTCATTTTCAAATGTTGCAAGCTAGTACCAGTCATGTTAGGGGGAATCCTCATTCAGAGAAAGGTTTTCTCAAAAGTGGACTCCGCTGCTGCCTGCTGCATGTGTATAGGGTTGATTGCTTTTATTTTAGCTGATAGCAAGGTCTCTCCTGTCTTTAGTCTAATAGGTAAGAAATTATTCGACTTTTGTAGTGTAGACCATTTCCGATTATCAAAAAATTATCATTTGTTTTGATTATTTTGTACTTATAATATCGTCATTTCCATAATAAAGGAATATAACTATACTCCAAGATTGCAACATTGACTCAAAAAAATTTCTTATGTTAAGAGAATACAGCTGTGGAATGTCTGCCAAAAATTGTGCTGATTCTTGCGCAGCCAGGAAAAATATCAGTGAAATTTCCAGTTAGATTTGTTCGACAGTTTTTTAGTGAAAGTACGACTTACAAATGAAAACCATGCGACTGTGAAATGTTCTTTCGTCTGAGAATGGCATTATGTGATATCAGTAGGCCAGTAGGCTTTGAATCAAAGCATTTCACATTCTCTTGATAAAGCATTTCACATTCCTACTTCAAAGTTTGCGTGCTAAATCGATACACTGTATCACTTCTTTCATTACATTACACAAGTAACTTATGAATCTTGCAAGAAACATATGGATCTTGCGATAACCAGTCATTCGGTTCCATCTTTCACCAAAAATATGTACAGAAGATACCAGTAGGAAGAGAAGCACTAGGATGTTTTACAAAGCAACCTTAAGGTGTTAGAGGCTTGATCTCATGATTAATTGTAATAGGTAGGCAGAGGTGCGAAAGTATATTGAATCACGGGAGGCCCCTCTGGACTGGCGACCCGGAGGTACCCGAGTCAAGAAACATAAATTTAAAAACTAGCAATTTTTTCTTACATGCTCTACGATCATGTCGTGTATTTTAGAGGTGTTATAGCGAGGAGTGGGTGAGGTGGTGGTGGTTGTCCATAAAGGAGGAGTTGCGTTTTGGGCCTTTTCCGGCCCCACCTGGATTTTGCTAAATGTTTCATATTTTCAAAGTACTAGTCTTAGGTAGACTCTGTGCCAAATATTAGACCGATCGGAGCCCATGCAAGGGCGCAGCAGCGCCTCAAACCCAAAATCCTGGAATCGAAAAACAATTATTTTCGTCGACTTTTTCGACTGTTATCACTCTTCCAGCACATGTTTCTTATGTATTTTTTTGCGTACTTTTCGTTTCTGGCCTTTTTAAAGGCCTCCGATAAATTTTAAGGGGCCTTATAGCCCATTGTTGCCATTTTTGGCCCATTTTTAGGGGTTTTTTCCATTTAACACATTCAAAACTCAATTTAATCCAAAAACTGTATACATTTTTGAAAAGTACGTAAAGAAATGAATAAAAAAGGTTCAGTAAAATCTTTTCCTATGTTGCCAAATTTCCGAGAAAATTGGCCCCAAAGTGTCAAAATCGGCAAAAAATCGATAAATCGCCAAGTCTAAGGTTCAAGAAAGTGGAGTACATTTTTCATACTCTACCAGATAACAGCTCTTATCCATCCATACAACATACTAAAATATCATAGTTGTACCTGGATTCCCACGATGTGAAAATTGACCGAGATGTCGATTTTAGCGGCCTTTTTATACTTGAAGGCAGCTCTTTTGAATGTTTTTCGACCTTAGTCACCCTCTATGGGTGTGTAGTATATGTATTTTTCTACGTACTTTTCATATCTGGCCATAAAAATGGCTTCCTGTGAATTTTAAAAGGCCTAACGGTCCATTGTTGCCAATTTTCACCAATTTTTAGGGGTTTTTTCAAGTTTACGTGCGTGAAACTTAATTTAATCTAGAAACCGTGTATAATTTCGGAAAGAACGTAAAAAAATACATAGGAATGTGATTTGTACCTTTTCCCTACGTTGCCAAATTTTCGAGAAAAATCGTCCTGAAGCGTCAAAAATGCCAAAAATTGGATTAAGCATCACGTCGGAGGTTCCAGGAAGTGAATTTCAAGTTTTTTTTCACTACAAATAACGTATCGAAAATGGAAAATTGCAATGCATCTCAAGGAACATGTAATGGCGTAGATGAACCTGACAAAACGGGCCCTCAAGGTGCTTTTACTTTATCCTTCACTCCAGTTCACCTCTTTATTCCTGTAACCTCGAGATAATCCTTGGTTCTCAAGATGCTTGCTACAGGCCAAATATACCGAAGAACAGAAAATGCGTGGAGAAAGTGTCCCACGATCCACATGAATGTCATAATTCACTTCCTGGAACCTCCGACGTGATGATTAATCCAATTTTTGGCATTTTTGACGCTTCAGGACGATTTTTCTCGAAAATTTGGCAACGTAGGGAAAAGGTACAAATCACATTCCTATGTATTTTTTTACGTTCTTTCCGAAATTATACACGGTTTCTAGATTAAATTAAGTTTCACGCACGTAAACTTGAAAAAACCCCTAAAAATTGGTGAAAATTGGCAACAATGGACCGTTAGGCCTTTTAAAATTCACAGGAAGCCATTTTTATGGCCAGATATGAAAAGTACGTAGAAAAATACATATACTACACACCCATAGAGGGTGACTAAGGTCGAAAAACATTCAAAAGAGCTGCCTTCAAGTATAAAAAGGCCGCTAAAATCGACATCTCGGTCAATTTTCACATCGTGGGAATCCAGGTACAACTATGATATTTTAGTATGTTGTATGGATGGATAAGAGCTGTTATTTGGTAGAGTATGAAAAATGTACTCCACTTTCTTGAACCTTAGACTTGGCGATTTATCGATTTTTTGCCGATTTTGACACTTTGGGGCCAATTTTCTCGGAAATTTGGCAACATAGGAAAAGATTTTACTGAACCTTTTTTATTCATTTCTTTACGTACTTTTCAAAAATGTATACAGTTTTTGGATTAAATTGAGTTTTGAATGTGTTAAATGGAAAAAACCCCTAAAAATGGGCCAAAAATGGCAACAATGGGCTATAAGGCCCCTTAAAATTTATCGGAGGCCTTTAAAAAGGCCAGAAACGAAAAGTACGCAAAAAAATACATAAGAAACATGTGCTGGAAGAGTGATAACAGTCGAAAAAGTCGACGAAAATAATTGTTTTTCGATTCCAGGATTTTGGGTTTGAGGCGCTGCTGCGCCCTTGCATGGGCTCCGATCGGTCTAATATTTGGCACAGAGTCTACCTAAGACTAGTACTTTGAAAATATGAAACATTTAGCAAAATCCAGGTGGGGCCGGAAAAGGCCCAAAACGCAACTCCTCCTTTGACTTTAATTTTTGAAGAAAATTCTAAAAAATCTGAGAGGTAGGAGAACAACCCTCTGAGTTTCCATCCTGGATTTGCCTCCAAAAATCAGGGAATGTACCAGAGTGTTAATCAGAGAATTTGAAAATTAAATATATCTAGAAAATGAGATGTCTTCTTTTTCATTTTTCTACCATTAGAGCAGTTTTCTAAGAATAATTGAGCTCTGAATTACCATCTTCTTTTTTGTTCTACTTTTGGCTGCAGTCAAAATCTGATTTCCTAATTGACCAAATGTTATGGCCAACATGTGATTTCTTACACAAAAAATCCTCTCTAAAGGAGTTAAAAGTATTCTTGAATTCACTGCAACTTTCAAACAGTTGAAGATAGATATTTGATCCAGGTTGCAGTTTAAAAGAAAAACAGAAATTCGTAGAATTTTGTGGAAAAGTTTTGCCTGAACAATTCTTGTAGGTGCAAAAATGTGAGTGTTTACCTTAAAACGTGAGGGATAGAATTCAGATGTAGGTTGCCTTCCGAAGGTAATTAAAGAATTTTATTGACGAGTCATCTCTGTGGAATCTTACAAGAGGTACCATGGTTAATTAGAGTACATGTAGGTCTGTTCAGATTGTGTGTACCTTTCTAGTTTGACTTTTCTTGGTCTTTTTTTTTTGTATTTAGAGGTAAGTTATTTAAAACCACAGAAAAAAAATTGAATGGACAAGGAAGGATAGACTACAGTTCTTAATGACAACAGTAAAGGAAGCTTTATCACAGGTTTTCAGTTCTTAGGAACCTATATTTAAAAGCGCAGTCAGTTGCCCTTTCACCACCATCTGCTGTCAGCACGTTGAATCGATTCATAATAGTTTCTATTGGTACTTTTCAGGTGTATTTATGATCTCATTTGCTTTGCTTTGTGATGCTGCAATAGGGAACGTTCAAGAAAAAGCAATCAAACAGTATGGCGCAACGAATGCTGAAATTGTTTACTACTCTTATTCTATTGGATTTATTTACTTATTTTTTATCATGCTAATCTCTGGAAATCTACATTCAGGGTTCGCTTTCTGTCGGGAAGTAAGTATTTTTCTAACCTACAATATATCTGCACTCAAATATTTGCTGCAAGTTATGAAGTTTTGGGTAAGCTACTCTGTGGCTCGATTTGATTGCAACATTCCTCAAAATCACTTGATTAGTTCGGTCCGCATTGTCAGAAGTTTCTCTGACTTCTTTATTCAAGTTTAAGGTCTCCAAATTAGGTTATATTAAGTATACAAAGGCTGTCCGTAAAGCACTGCCCCTTTNGGGGGGGGGGGGGGGGGGGGGGGTGGTGGTCAGATGTCCTGATCAGAATGCGGTTTGTGTGGGGATACAGACCCAGTAATTACCTATGAAACAATATCAAATTGAGCTCTGTAGCTTGAAATTTGACTGAGTTACAGAATTTTGAAAATGACTCGTCAAGTTGACCCCTTCAGGATTTTCAGCATATTTTACGCCAGGCAGTACCGTCGTTAACATTCTTCGATTGTTCAAAGACGGTATACCAGTATCTTGTCCCCACCGGGCTGACAGTCAATGAAGAATACTTCTGCTCAGTCATGCAGGAACTACGAGATTATATCGCCAAGAAGCGGACAGACATGAAGGAGACTTGAATATCTCACATTGACAATACCTATCCCCACTCAGCCCAAATTCTACTAGAATTCATGCATGAACATGAGATCGTCTATACCTGATTTTGATACCAAACTTTTTTTTTTTTTTTTTGCCTCCTTTAACAATATTGAAAATCCTAAAGGGATCAACCTGCCACGTCATTCTAAATATATAAGCTCCAAGACCTCCTAAATTTGCATATCTGGTAATGCTTAGCGCCAGCGTTCTACTAGGCCGATTTTCATGATTTTTGTGGCTATCAACAGTCAATTGTCCCTCGATGAGCCCACTTTATTCAGATTTTGACAATATTACCCAGGTTTTTTTTACATTACGCGGTAAAGTTGCGAATTCTCCCATTTAAACAATGTAAATTTTTATTTTATGTCATAGTTCGTTTGAGCGTTCTACTGGGGCAATTTCCATCATTTTTGCGGTCATCAACAGGTAATAGTCCTTAAATGAGCCCGCTGTAATTAGATTTTGGAAATATGACGAAGATTTTCTTATAATTGAGTATACCTGGGAGCTGAGAAAGGGGGCAACATTTGAAATTCCCGCCATTTTTCATTGGCGAGAATTTCAAATTTTGCGGAAAATTGAACTAAGCGGGAAATTGTGAATCTTGGTCAGTTAGTAGGGTCCAGGGTAAGGTAAGTGAATCGAAATTGTGCTCCTTTACTACAGACTATCGAAAAGTAACTAAATGCTTCACTCCATTCATTTCTGTACGATTTCGACTGTATAGTGTACATTGCTCATGTATGCATCTATAGTTACGCACCACCACTTGTCTTCCTTGTCCTTCTCACACATATACATGCTCCTCTGATCCAGCTAGATTTGTCATTATTTCCTTCCCTTTCCCCCTTTTCTCTTCAGTTTTTGGTGACCCCGATGTGATACGACCTGGTTCAGTGACGCGAGACTAATGATTCATTACGATCGTTCGTTCAAGTGCGTTTTAAGTAACAATCCACAATTATTCATAACCTTCAAACCCATTTTTAAGAAGAGTTTATTCGATGATTTTGCCATCAGCTGAGTGCTCTCCGTGTGCGTCGACAGTCTAACCTCCGATCGCCGGTTTCGCGTTCCGAAATAGCGGAGGGAAGCGAATCGCCTCTGAAACACTTTCCGCTTTTGTCCGGGCTGTTAAGATGTTTCATCGTAATATTGACATGTGATGGTGACTGTGCGAATATAAACGGCACCTGTACTCCTGCTCTCTCAACTGACATTTTCTCAGACTTTTTACCTCTCCTTTCTCCGCCCAGCTCATCTTCCTCCACTTCGTCTCTCCGTATCTCCATCTTTTCACATCGCATCTTGATGCTTGATCATATGATTTTTATTCTGTTATTTTTCCTTCCATTTGGGGCCCCATTTGTCATTTTTGCTTTCATGTGTTTTTTCATTGTTTATGTACCTCTCTCGCCCCTAGTTGGCACCTTCTCTAGCCCCTAGTTGGCACCCTCTCCAGCCCCCAGTTGGCATCCTCTCTCACCTTCGGCACCCTCTCTTGCCCCTAGTCGGCGCCTCTATTTTTTGTGTATTTTTGTGAATTTATAACATGTCGGATAACGAATCCCAATGCACGGTTGCGCGGTTTATTGCGTTAAGTGCCACAAAGCTAAGGTACGAAGGGCAGTTACGGAGAATTTCCGATTTTTTAGCCCAAAATGCAGCGGACACGTCACAGCTCAAAGTGAAACTTAGTGCCGCAACGCCCGTTTCGTCTCAATACTTAAATATTGTACACGAAATTTCCGACTTCAGCAATGTAGACATTTCGGATGACATAAGCAATTTTGAGAGTTTGTATTTCAGTGTGTTGTCAGTTGCCAACGGCAGACTGTCTGATTGGGGTCCCGGTTCATCCAATATTGTGAGTGTGCACGGCTACAATGTTGATCAAAGGACTTCCTCCTTGAAAAAACCTTATACAGGGTGTTTCAGACCACCCGTACCAGGCCTTTTTCTCGGTTGGTTTAAGTCGTACGAAGTCGGAGACCGCGGGGTTGATTAGGGCATTGACCCCAAGGAATCCGAATTTTGTGGTCCCCCACCCTCCCTTTGGGGGTAAAGGGGGGGTCACGATGCTAAAAGTCACGGTTCCCGACCGAATTGCGGATCGATCGCATCAGAATTAAAAAGCACGGAAAATTTCACGTGGAATTGACCCCTAAAAATCCAAAATCGGACCATCCAAGGCCCAAAAATGATTCCCTAAAGAGGGGGACAGTACCTCCCTCCATAATTTCTCTTTGGTCTCAAAATTGACGTAAATTCTCCAGAAAAAGACGATTTCCTAGGTAATCGACCTCGAGAAATCCAAATTTCGTGGTCCCGAAGCTCCAAAAATTTCTCAGGATTCCTCTTTGGTCGCAAAATTGACTTCGATTCTCCAGAAAAATACAGTTTCCCATGTAATCGACCCCGAGGACTCTAAATTTCATGTTCTCTGAGCTCCTCGGGGTCGATTACATGGGAGACCGTCTTTTTCTGGAGAATCGACGTCAATTTTGCGACCATTGAGGAATCTTGAGAAATTTTAGGCGGGGGCGAAGTCCCCCTCCTCAGGGAGTTACTTTCTGACGTTCAGGGGGTCTATTAGAACTCTTAGGAGTCACTTAAGATTTAAATGTGTTCTGCTTCTCAATTTGGATGCAATCAATTTGCGAATCGGAAAGGAGCCCCGATTTTTAAAATTGGGCCCCCCCGTTTACCTCCCAAGGGGGGCTGGAGGAGCTTCGGGACCACGAAAATTGGATTTCTCGAGGTCGATTACCTGGGAAACTGTCTTTTTCTGGAGAATTTACGTCAATTTTGAGACCAAAGAGAAATTATGGAGGGGGGTACTGTCCCCCTCTTTAGGGGATTATTTTTGGGTCTTGGATGGTCCGATTTTGGATTTTTAGGGGTCAATTCCACGTGAAATTTTCCGTGCTTTTCAATTCTGATGCGATTAATCCGCAATTCAGTCGGGAACCGTGACTTTTAGCATCGTAACCCCGCCTTTACTCCCCAAGGGGGGGGGGTGGGGGAAGAGGAAGAACACCGAGAACTGGATGAGTTTTCCGCAAATGTTCAACTGCATCAATCATCCAGATAGGTCTCTTTCTTCAGTTCAAAAGTTGTTTTATTTAAAATCCGCTTTAAAAGGAAATGCTGCTGCTCTATTGCAGAATTTGGAGTTAACAAATGAAAATTGTGCAGCAGCGTTAGAAATCCTGTCGGTGCATTTTGATAGTCAGCGAGTCATTGTGGATAAACATATCAGTTTTCTAGTTAATTTGCCAAACGTGTGTACAGAAGAGTCAACTCGTAAATTAATCATTCAAGTTCCACAGGCTTGTCATGCATTAGATGCATTAACGGTTGAAACGAAAACTTGGGATCCGATTTTGATTTTCTTAATTACCAGAAGCAAGACCAATCCACACAGGTCAGTCATTCCCGAGGACGAGTTTTGGTACTTTACTGCGCAGTGACGTAGTATTGAGGGCTTGCAATGTATTTCTTTTGGGAGCACCCATTGTGACGTAACATTGAGTGCTGCCGAGTCAGTGCCGGGCGGGGAAGTGGCTTTCAAAAAGATGCGCAATGACTGACCTGTGTGGATTGGTCTTGACTAGAAGATTTGACAAAGAGACTTTGAGTGGATGGGAAAAAGTGGCTCCAAAAAAAGGTTGCCCAACTAAGAGCCAATTGTTTAATTTTTTGGAAAGGAGGTGTCAGGTATTGCGAGCGTTGACTGTGTCAACAGTGTCAAATGAACAGCGAGAACAAGGTGAGAGTTTTGAAAACTCTAAAAAAATCGGTTATAGCTTCCGATGCCCTCTTTTCAATAAAGCACACAAAATTTATCAGTGTCCTGAATTTTTGTCTATGCCTGTTAGAAGTAGAATTGTTAAAGTAAAACATCTTGGATTATGCCCAAATTGTCTGAGAAAACATGAAGAAAAATGTTCTTCAGTCAGAACATGTTACGAGTGCTCCAGAAAGCACCATACCTCTTTGCATTTATCACAGTCCACAAATCAAGAGGTAGTTCTCCACTCTAAATCTAAGTCATCTGACTATCTCGTGCTTGTGTCCGGCTTGTCGCCTCTGACGGACGTACAGAAATCTGCCGCTCACTATTAGGTTGTGGCAGCAGTACTAATTTTATTTCACAGGATTTAGCAGCCGCCTTAAAAAACAAAGTAGAATCTATACAAGGAATAAAAATTATAGGTGTAGGAAGATCAATCTCGAAATTTCGTACTGTTAACACAATGCAATCTTCGAACTCCAACTTTTCTTTTGAAGCAACTTGTGCAGTGTTGCCAAGTCTGCCACTAATTATTCCGGATAAGACGTCTCCAAAGTACAATATTACTTCATCCAAGGTAGAGTCGGAATTGGCC